CCGGAAGGAGAGGCCCACTGAGTGGGTGTATTAGAGGGCATAAGCCATGCAGTATTCTGCATCAGTCATTTACTATTGCCATTACATCAAGAAACTGATTTTTTTTAGCATTTCAATGAACTTGAAGTCACTTAAAGCTTCAGATTGGACCTCTAGTTGCTCCTTGTCATGGTTCATTAAGTTTTCTGGCTCAGTAACCTGAGCCGTTTTCACAAAAGCACTGCAGCCCCGAGGCTCTTGAACAAATGGAAGTACATGTAAAAATGCAAATTTTAAACCGCCTGATCGGACATCAGCAGATCTTTAACCTGTTGTTTAACCTGCCTTGTATAAAATCTGTATGCACGCATGGGCAAATAGATGTCTTCGGTGCTGCATCCTGCACGCGGTATTCTGACACGTCACTTACAATCGCATCGACCCCAGTTGACAATGCCCTTGAAACTGCTGGTGCTACAGAAAAACATGTATTCCTCAACCAGATGGCAAGTGGTTTCTAGACATTGCCGGCTGTCACCAGGTGAAACCGGCTGCTGTAGCAAGTCAATTTAACTTTAATTACACAGCACCAAATCACAACAACAGCTTCACATTGTAAGCTAAAGACCTACAACAACCTCCTTGCAACTGGTCTCTAGTTCATCACCATGGTTGCCTGTAGACTGCATGAAAGTTGGTGACTTGTAACAAACGCTTGTGATGCAAACCAGAATTAGAAATGTTGACTTTCAAAGTAAAAGTTGCACCTTTTGGAAAGTGCTGGTTAAAGCAGTAAGCAACTGTTACTTTGAAAGTGAACGGTCTCCACTTCTGGCTTGCGTCGCAGTTTCACTGTAAACCAAAGTAAACACAATGTACAGTAAACAGCGAGTGTTTGCAGACAAGTTGGCACCTTCCATGAAAACTATTGTCAACCACCGCACCCAACTTGCAACTAAAGCAATCACGGGAAGGTTTTTGGTGCAGTACCATCTACTGAACTTTGCAGCCAATTTCACTCCAGCGACTGCCAGAAACCTCAACAGGTTAAAGAATATAAAGTTCTCCCAAGCACTCTGTGGTCAACAGTGAGATCACTTAACACTCTCTTGGTCTGTGTGAGCAGGGCTTTAGCAGTCAATTTCACAGTGAGTGCCAGCTACCAGTCACAAACAGCCAGGAGATAAACATTTTTCCCTGGAAATACACATTTTCCCTAGCAGCTAGAGGTTGCTGACTCATCTCTAGTCTTGTTTAACTGAGGCCTTACCTAAACTACGCACTTAGAGCAAGCTGTAAGGTGTCTTTTTGTCAAATGTTGAAACACTTGCATGATAAGTGGCCTTTCATAAATACTTTATGCTACGTTACATGAAGTAATTGTCTTCCTTTGTTGTGAGTGTGTATTGTGGTGGACAATGTTTTACATGATCCTTAAAAGAAAACACACACACACACACACACACACAAGCAACACACATATCATATAACTATACAACAACAGAAAGACAAATATACTGAGGTCGAGGAACAAGTTAGGGATACTTTTACATACGAAGCTACACCGGGGAGGCAAACACTCTACCTGTCAAACAACTTTAAATGAGAAAGCAGCTGTAATGTCATAACGGATATTGTGTGTCTGCCTGCAAAGGGTTGATCAAAGGGCTGAGAACACAAAAGCTTGTCTTGAATATCAAGTAGTGACGGCTGTTTTACAGCCCCAGACGCTGCTGCTCAGCAGTCTAAAGTATGACTAACATCTCTTTCATACCGTTAGCCAACGGTTTGAGAGGACTGTTGATGTTACACATCGCGAACCCAGTAAGTGACCCACTTTACCACAGAATGAATGTACTAGTAATTCTTTAACCTCCTCTGTGAGCTTCAAGCGCAACATAGTGACAGTACACGAAACTACCAGGTACTGCTGCCAAAGATAGAAGTGAAAGCACGTGAGATTCGTTCCTGGAGGCAACTCTATTGATTGCAGCTGTTTTAGGTGTCTGTCTGCCAGGCAGCCTTTAGTAACTGAAAGAGGGGGGGGGGAAGGTGCAAAAACAGACCTGAGACGACTACAATGTGTGCCAATTTCTGACTTCAGCGAAACATACTCATGAGTTTCTCCTCGAGTGAGCCTTGAGTGCATGACTCTTCAGCGTGATCAATAGACAGGGATCAGATCATCCCTCAGGGCAAGTCCTGCTTTCCACTTGAGCTCATGGTTTTTCCTGATATGCACAGTCTGTGTTATACAAAAAACAAAAACAAAAAAAACCTGACAGCTGACATAATAACGATTGCCTCAGTGTCATATTTTTAAATAAGGAATGAGAAAAACGATTACAGACTATTACGAATAAAGAAAAACAGATCCTACATCTCGACTGCTGAAAAGTGTGCCCAGAGCAAAGTCAGCACAAGTGTTTTACATGAGCACAGAGGGGGGCCATGACACAAAGCCCAATATCCTCTTACTGGATAAACAGCTTTTTATTGTTGTGGTTTTTACAAACGAGCACCCACATGCGCACAAGCTCTCTGAATGGCCTCCTAATAGCCAGCACTTTAAAGCTACTAGCCTAATTAAGATTCTGTCAGATGCAATTAAGTTTGGAAAGAAATAATTACACAACAATGTGCACCCGTTTACATAAACTCTCAGAGCGGTGCAGTCTCCGCTTTGGTTAACATGTTTAAAGCTTTTCTATAAACAGCCAGAAACAAAGATCAGAGTCTTTAAAGAAGTTGACACTGTAAGCCCATCAGGTACTTTACAACACGCTTCATTAGGAAAACAGATTATTGGATGAAACCTTCCAAAGAGGTGCAGCGTCCAGGTTTATAAGCAGTTTGCATCTCCAAAACAGTACAGGATAAAGCAGATAAACCTCCTGTATTTTCCCAAACAGCAAACAGGACTGTTTTAACACTAGTAATCATTCCTTTCTACTAATAAATAACCCATTGCTAAGTTATAATGGGGGGCAAGCTCCTAAAGCAGTGGAACAGGAGATACCACGATACACTACTGCACCATAAAATGCATTTTTTGTGCAAATGATAGCAGTGTGGTCATTTTATAAAAACACATTTTTAGTGGAGAAGCTCTACTTGTCGAGTGGAGCTTGTACAGGGAAACAAAGCTCACAAGTGTCACCTGAAATCATATACCAACACACTGTAGCATCACAGAGTACACTGCTGCTCTGTCCTCGACTGTCAGCTGAAGGGTAAAAGCAAAGAAATGAGCACTTGTACAGCAAACAGAAAGGCCAGAATCAGCACAAGGTTCGACGATCGGTATAATGCTGAAAACAGCAGTATAAAATCTTCACTGTCTAGCATTCATGAGTAGACAGTATGCAGGTGTATTATTATACTCTAGGTTAAATGCGTGAAGTACACTGTCCATTTGACTGATAGTCAGTTTTTTCCAAGATGAGCCACCAGGAAGATGTGCACCACTAACAGGTGCTCGTGCACGCATGTGTATGTAAATGTATTTATGTTTGCGTAAATGCGCTTGAAATTCCAGGCAGGCCTGCAGACAATGAGAGGAAGTGTTCCCCTTCCACTGCAGCGTTTAATTGGTCAAACAGACCAAAGTGAGCGAGCTCCGCTAGGCCCAACAATAAGGCCCTGTGTTCCCTGAGCCTCAGCTTTGGGCAGGTCAATGTGAAACAACAACACGCCACTCTGTGCGCCTCTCCAGCGGCAGCAGCACTCTAAAACAAAGCTGCTGAATTAGTCTCTCAACCCAACAATTCAAGCTCACAAAGCCACCAATTACAGCTGACCTGCTATTTAAGAAGAGAAAAAACACTTTTATGTTTACTTCTACGGGAAAAGACATTCGAGCAGTGCTGAAAATCCTTCCCAACTGGAGATTAGTGGCTATTTTAAAAAATGAGCAGCAGCAAAATAAATAAATAAATAAATAAATAAATGAAAAGGTTGAGGCAAACCATGTGCAGAATGGTGGCTGATGCCAAGGAGAAGCACCTGTCAGCTAGAGCAGGTGTGTGACCGTCTGCCTGGCTCAGTCCTCCATGCACGCACACACATATACACAGGTTAAAAATGAAGCCACAACCCTCACCAAGGTGTGGAGGATCAGGAAGCTTAAGCTGACACTGAGCCCATATGTGGATTATCTAAGCCACCAGATTCCCTCATCTTTTCATTTTTATTTATTTATTTATTTTTAAATAAAAAGGTGTTAGATGGAAAAATGACTGCACCAGTTCCAAAACTTTTTACCTTAATGACACCAGAATTAAACCCCCAATTACCTCCACATGCCACCCAACGGCAAACAAAGCAGCGACACACTAACACACATAACAAACGGAGCTACTCATGTGGGAAATTCTATTTTTACCAGGAGGCAGGGCGAGGCTCTGCCATTACAGTACACAAAGTAGGGAAACTACAACAAGAGAGGGAGGGAGGCAGCAGAGGGCTGTCAGGAAACAAAGCGGAAGTGTCCTTCCTCCTGATGACCTGCAAGTTAAAGGAGAACACAAAGTGCTCTCTGTGCAGGAACAGTGAAAAGTCGTGTATATTTGACTGATTTCTTTCTTCTTCTTCTTTTTTTTTTAATCCTCTCACAGCCCCTAATTTACCTCATTCATTTACTCTGTACATGAGACATCTATTGCATGTCTAGTCCTCTTAGAAAGGAGAACCCCTCCTCTGTTATACATTTTTAGATTCCTTCCATTTTGGGGAATCGGGGGTTTACGGATAGATATGTTGTAAATGCTGTGCAAACCTGTGAGGACTGATCTCTAATTGGACATTAAAATTAAACTGAATTACAACCAGAGCACATTGTAGACGCAAAACAGTTAAAAAAAAAACCTCTAATTAATGATGTCTGAGTTTGCCAAAGCGTGAATATAAAGGTTAAAGGATGTGTAAGTGAGTGGTAACCGTTTACGTCACTACCTGCCAATACTGGAAAATCTGAATAGAACTCATTTATGTTTGCAAAACAAGGGGCTACCATCACTCACCTCCTCCAGGGAAGCCACTGTATTTCTACACTGGGACATCCTGGTGGTGAAGTTAGAGGCGGTCGGCGATTTGTAATCTTCATTGGTCTCTGCCACAAACTCTGCAACTGTGATTTGGTCCGGCATCATTAATCCCTTCTTGCTGATAAGAACGAGCCCCTTTTTCTTAACCCCCTTCTCGTCTGCGCACTTCTAGGACTGAAAAGTTCAGAGGAGCAGTAGCAGCAGTGGTGTGTGTGAAGGTCCCTGCGGGTAGTAAACCATCTCTGTTTGTGTTATTCCCTTGTTTGCTCCCTACACAATCCAGCGCAGCAGTGCTGCACGTTGCCGCTCTCACCGCGCCGTGCTTTACAAGGTGATGGATAAGGTTAAATCCCTCCTGCCTTTTTATCCCGCTACTCCATTCAGTTTAACGGCCAGCCGGGTGGTCACAGGGGAAAGAAAAGCTTCCTCGGCAGATCCCGCTGTCCTCTCTCGGTGTCCCGAAAACCTGCAGCAGAGCAGAGGTAACTTCTCCTTCCTCCAAGCCCCGGGAAACAACAACCAGGCGTTTCAACGGGAGCGCAAGGAACTGACAAAGGTAGAGGAGGGGATTCAATGAACCCGCACCAGCCAATGGGGACACGCCGCGTTCAGTGCTGCTTGTAAATTATAGCACCGCAGTAGGAAGGTGATTTCTGTGATATATATGGACACTGTAGTGAGTGTGGGGGCTTCAGTTTTCACGTTGATATGAACCTTTACATTTGATAAAAGTAATACAAACTGTGATTTCAATCAAAAAATACTGTAGGTCTTTTGTAAAAATGGATGCAGAAACTTTAATAAAAATATCTGAGGAAAAAAAAAATACTTTAGGGCACACAAACAGTATTGTGTATCTGTTAGGCTAGCTGTACTCAGTCCACATATGACTCTGATGCCTTTATGGTAATTTTATACATGCCACTTTTAAATCTTGCAGGAAAACATAACATAACATATAAGTTAATGTAGAACATCACTGATATTGCACAAATTAGTGCCTGAGGACATCACCAAAGGGCTGCAAAGTGGCAAAACACCCTACCAATAATACTACATGCGGGGTTTTTAGCCTATAATCAAAAGTGGCATAAAGGGTTAAGTAAGAATATGTGTATTAAATGCACAATAGAATATAACATACATGTCATGTGTTAAATTAGCTAAACTCAGTGCACTGTCCGCGTTCCACGAGTCAGTTTTTGCGCCTACCGAAATATTTCCTACAGACCTTTAAAGCATCACTTTGAGTGTACAGTCGCTTGCTGGTTCTTTTTTTAAGGTGGAGAGAGGAGAAGCAGCTGGGTGTAACAAATTGGCGGCACTATCATAATCAAAATGCGGTTTAGAGTGTCATTTTTGCAGGTCTGTATTTCTGTAATGCTCATAAAGCAAGCAGTTCTTATTCTGTACAAACACAGTTACTTTTAAAGGAATGATCATCACTAAAGATAATCTCTGAATCCAATTATTTGCGGCTAAACACCTAAACAGCAGGAGCACATTAACATTTTATTTTGTGTAACAGTGGGTTGCTGTTCAGATGTTGCCTGTGATTTCAAACAGAGCCTAAAATACTCCAGCAGTAGCTAAAGCATGTACAGTATTCATTCAAGGAGCCCGCTCATCATGGCTCAGTGAATCAGAGAATAAAGACTTAAAATAACTGGATTGAATGTGATTGTTTGGATTATGCTGATGCTTAAAGGTGAGCATCGTTAATGTGACTGTGCTGCATGAGAAGATTAAATGGAAAATACTCATTTTTGATCTCCTGTTCTCATCTCGATAGTGTCACAGCTCCTACCACATCTTTGATAAAGAAAGGAAAAAGTTCCAGATTTATGTTTGAAGAGGACCAGCATCAGTGCAAGGAGGGAAATCTGATGGTGTGCTTTCTATCATCTTTTTATCTGCCTACACTTCAGAGTTTGTTTAGTATATGTTTGTTTTGCCCATGGAGCATGGGTATTTTAAGTTACAGGCAAGAATAAAAATGGGAAAAAAAAGTTGGATCTACTGAAATACAGTTCAGAAAATAAAATATTCTATCATTAGGCACAGTCTAAAACTGTGAAGAGTTACTCTCATGCCGGAATTTCTGTCAACAGGAGCTTGAAAAAACAACAGCCTTTGCTCCCAGAGTGCTTGCATTTCTCCTGGGCTTTGGGATGATGTTTCCCAGCTCATTCAGCCCTGGCAGGACAGCTACTGGTATAAATAGTCTAGAGGCGGCAGAGGCAAAACCCTGGGCAGGCTTTAAATCACAAAATAGGCACTGTTCACACATTCTTTCAGTGCTGCAGCGTCTCCTGGCAAACTGCTAAATGAAGAGCCCGAGACCCAGGCTGACCCTGACCGGGCTAGCTGGCCTCGACTCCCTTATGAAATGAATACATGCACTTCCAGGGAACATCTGCTATCCAGAGACAGAGCCGCTCTGTCAGTGAGGTCAGCAGGACCAAACAACATCAGCCCTCCTCTTCACCACGGACTTAATATTTTCAGTTGCACCTGCCTTAAACAGAGAGTGCTACGTCTCTTTCTGAAGTACTGCAATGAGAAGCAGGTGTATAGGGTCATCAGGAAGATATGGCTTGGAAACATAATAAAAAGCAGCATGTTTTATATTTTATGGGACCTGAAGAAGAACACGCAGGCTTATCAGTGAGGAAATATGAAATCCTGTTCAAATACACCAGTTTAAATTGCTTAAATAATCAACGGTCCACTTTTACCGTATTGTATAATCATCCATGTTTCCATTTTACAGTCAAGCTCTATTTGTTTAAAGCCCAAACGGAAAAGGGGTGTCATGGCAAAAAGCCGTCAGCTGCGTTATTAATCTGGACAGAAGCTTCATTCAGCAGCTCAACACAGAGCTTGTTCGAATGCAAGAAAATTCCAGCCCTGAGTAACAAGTCAGAATTGTAGCTGTTGGATCTTCAAATGATTTACTGAGAAAGCGAACTGAAAATGTCCACTTTAATCACTGAATTGTTGTGAAATGCGTTATTTTCGCTTTCCTTCGGAACCAAAGTTCATTTAGTCGTAAAAAACTGAAACCAAACACAACCAGACAGCTGCAGACAGAACAATAGCCAAAGCAGATGTCATACTGTACACAGAGACCTTCTTGGAAATGATGTTTGTAATTTGTATCCTGCACAGAAAGGCACAGGGCGTGTCAGTGAGCCAGTTCTTTGGTCAAAATGAGCCACAAATATCCAACAAAGTTCGACTGATTTGGTATTTCAGCGTTAGCGGGAACAAGGCAACATGTCAGACTGCAGTAATGAAGGGGACTGAGGCTCCAGTGGGAGTCACTTTTTCCTAATTGGACTGCCATGACATCATGATTGTGTAGCAGGTGGGATAGGCTCACAATCCAGCTTGGAATGAATGACTTCTTTGTTTCAAATAATCTGCAGGCTAATTAAAACCATTCTGCACCTGCACCTGAAACTTTTCCACACACGAGCAAATAAAACAGAATATTCCACGCTAAGGGGAACTTATGTACCGCGTCATTGACTGCAGATTAGATTAAAGACGAGCTTGTTATACAAACGAAGCAGCTGCAGATAGGCAAGATCGGATCAGACAGTGCCTGCTGAACCTGAGCGGTGGCCTCACGTACTTGGACTCTGTAATGGGAGGAGATGAACAGATGAAGGGAGGGCAAAGGCAAAGGAACAAGAGGTGAGAGAGCAGCAGTAGGGGGCCCATCGGTCCACAGACTCGGCCTTTCCTTACAGATTCTCTGAGATTTTCTGACAAATTAACAAATTCTGGAGCATTACTGTCTTCGTGAATGGCGAGTCTGCACAGAGATGATGCTTGCATCACATGCAGATTACACTGAAGTGCATACACAAAATTCAGAGGTGTTTTACTCCAGCTGTAACTCACTCTTGCTTCGCTCCTGCTAGGTTGAAGTCATATTTTTACGCAATCTGTGTGCATATCTTTTAAAGTAAAGCCAACTTTTCAAATTTTACAGTGCACAGCACATTCAAAATTGATTGTAAACTATTTAGTAGAGCTCAGTGGTGGTACTTAACAAAGAAAAATCACAGTCATGCATCTTTATTTTCATCTAATGTCTTCAGGTCAGCTGAAAACCTCACCAGGGTCAAAGATCAGTATTGGCAGCAATTACATGTGGTTCAATCAATAACAGAAATCATTTAACTGGTGGGGATTGGTCCAGTATGGCTGACTGCAATATATAAACCCTATACTGAAATGTTACTTCATAACACACAAAAAAGGTCACGGGATTGATAAGTAATTCCAATCTTGAGCACTGGGTTTTCCATTAATATCTAAATCTGAGCACATTCATGCACTCCACACAGAGGAATGACCTGGTTTTAACCTTGCCACCCTGAAGGACATCCAAGAAATCATGTTCTCTCGAATAATTGCATGACATTTTTAGTCAACCCCCACCACGCGCATCCATCTGAGTGATGATCGAAAAGAGCTCGGGCTTTGCAGCTGCTTCACTGTCATCATTAGGAGCGAGAGGCTTTTACAGTAATTATGAGTCCTCTTAGGATTTGGCTCTGTGAGCCTGAGTATATCAAGTGTCCCCGTGCTTCATTATATCCTGTCAACCTGTCACCATCTCTAGGTTTCCTAGGTAGAGCAGCTTGGTAGTTCAGTTCAACATCAAGCATCTCTGGGAAAGAAGATGAACCACAAGTTGCTCTTGATGGAAAGCAAATAGGTGAATAAGAATCAGATTGTAAAGCACCGGTTAGAAAGATCTCCATTCAGAGTGAAAGCACACTTTGTCATGTTTCATTGTGTAGGAGACACCAGCGTCCTATTTTGTTCAGTGTCCCCTGGGGCAACGTGAGACTTCTGAATTAATAAAAGGTCAGTGGCTGTGCATATTACTCTTCTCCTCTAATCCCCAGCACGTACCACAGGATATTAGCTGTTAAACTATGTGACAAAACACACACACAAAAGTGATAATGATCTCTGAACGATCTCAGCAGTTCAATCCTCGTATCTCTGGGTTGAAAACATGCAGATGGGCACACACGCTGCTGTTTACTAAGAAGACCTCATGCCTGTCGAGGAAACATAACATCCGTGCTGTGTGGACTCTTCTTGTGATCAATGCAGATATTTAGATTTTTTTATTTATTTATTTTAAATATCTACAATTAAAAATGAACCCCTCCTCTGATGCTACACTAAACAGGTTCATTACCAGCTATGGATCAGTATAAGTGGATAAAATAGTTTAAGGTGGTAATCATTATTAGGCTGCAGACATGACAGTTACATTTTTTGCCACCAACTCAAGCATGCTTAGTATGTTGTTATTGTCTCCATCCATCTACCAAGGGAGGTTAGGCTAACAGGGCCTTGAACTACATGTCACTGTTTCATCCACACTAATTCCATTGAATTTAAAACAGGGTAAACTTGGCTTTAGATTCTCTCTAAATCTGCTACTCTTCTGCACCTTGAAACCAAATGAACCTCCCAGAAAATCCTGCAAGCCCCCCTAAGTGACAAGTGGCATGGTGCAAATTCCCAAGCTGCA